GGTATGGCATCTAGTGTAGAACTTAGTAATAAGTGGACTACTTAAATAGGCAATTAAAAGTTGTACGTGTGGCTAGTTTGTACTCTCCAAAATATGTATACTGTACGGGTATCGTAAGGGGCTTAGCGTATGATAAAACTTGACTAATAACTGAATAAAGAGAATCGACCAAGAGATCACCTTAAAAAAAAAAAAAAAAAAAAGCAAAAATCTAGGTGAGACATATGTGGGGCATAGAATATTCTAGTAGGTTTAGGTCGTAGATAAAGTAGTCTAAGTCTCTGTAGTTCATAAAAATTAATATATATGTAATTGTAATTGAGCGATAAAATATATGTTAATAAAAACCAGAGGCATGATCTCACCTTGATATTAAAAAAAAAAATAAAATAAAATAAATACAATCGTCTCTCTATCTCGTCATCTTCCATATAATCATACTATACGTAATTATATATGTTTATCTAAGCAAAACTTCTCTACAAACAAATCTTTACCAAAATTTACTATCTGCCCTGCTATTTAACTATATAGAAAGATGATATAGTTATCTATAGAATTAAAAAAAAACTAACCTGCAATATCTACTTAAAATGTTTCATATTATAAGAACCAGTAAATTAAATTCACATCACCTTAACTTTATGCTTTTTTTTAATTTTTATTTTATTTTACCTTTCAAAAAAATTTAGCTTACCTTAGTACAAACCGTACCAATCTCCACCTCTGATGAAATCGAGCTTACCCCAAGTGACCTTCCCCATGCATCACCACTATTATTATATTCTGCTTTTATCATTTCTGATTTCTACTTTTCAAACAATGACCTCGGTATAGAAAGTCTCATGCTCTCTAAAAAACTTTACAATAGCATTACTAGAAATAAAAATATAGAATCAGAAGTAATTATTTCTTACTTTAACCAAAATGGTCATTACGATGCACTGAAAAACAACCTGAAAAAACCCGTTCTTTTTATAATTAGAAGATTGAAAGTTGGTACTAAAAAAATGCTTCATCTCATAGCTTCTGACATTGAATGGAACTATACCAGCAATGAACAATCCTCTGAGACCTCAAATAAAGAAAAAAGAAAAGCTCAAAATGATATCAATAATCACCTTGATACCATTAAAGAAAAATACGCTAAACTAAGCATTTCTCCTTCAAGAAAAAGAAAACAATCAAATTTATTAACTACCTCTTTTTCTTTCAAAACCCAAAAAGCTTCTCCTGAAACCAAATCTAATTTCTTAAATACTGTATCTCAAATTAAAAATACTGATCCAGTATCACAAAACAATACTACCACACAAGATAATCTCAACAACACCAATAAACCAACTATTATTGAATAGATATTTTCTTACACTACCATACAACAAAAACATCCAATATTACTTCAAACTTGCCATGCTTAAAATTCATATAATCATTTTTGATTAATTACTTTCTATATAACTACTTCTAATTAATCAAAAATACATAATTTTTCTGTCAAACTTTTCCTTACACATGAAATTCAAAACAAATTAACTTTTTGTTCCTCTAAATAATAATCTGTAAAACATCTTTTCTAAAAATTGTTTTTTTTTGAAATTACAATTATTCATATACTTTATATACAAAGATGTTTTTTTGCTAATCAATTTTATTTGACATTTAAATAAAAACAACTTTTTTTATATTTTTGGACAAACTTATATTAAATACAAGACCAAATGTAACACATGATCACCTAATTTTAACTATAAAATACAAGCACGTAGTAAATCTAACTATTGTTATACATATAAGTACATAAGAACTTGAAATATTGTATAATACCAAAAAATTTCTCTATACTATAGCTTTGATATAAAAACATAACTTTTATATACCATTGTGTAAAAAATCTTCCTATTCAGAGATATTAAATTTGCAACAAAATTAAATTATACATATCGATACACATAATTCTGTTTATTACAGAACTCACTATTCATAGTACTTTATAACTTGGTACTCTTTTTCTCAACTGTGCTTAAAATGCAGACTCTGAACAATCACTTAATAACATTATACAGCATCTTAATAACATTATGCAGCATTATACAGAGAATCTAACCTTTTATTATTAATTGTAATTTATGCAGTTTAATACGATTTCAAAAAATTATCATACCTAACCTATTTTTAAATACGGTACCAAAACTTACATACATATTATTTGACCCTACTACAATATTATTTCAAGAATACAAACAAATAAGTCAATTTCTACCATTAAACTATTCAAAAAATTTCACTTACGTCCAAATATCCATATTAAACTAACTTTTAAGCCAAAAAATAAATATAAGAAAAAATCTTAAACAAATATTAAAATAAACTAATATATAATACACAACAAAATCTGCAAATTCATCAATTTAGCCGAATAACTTAAATTTTATAAAATGCTATATACAAAGATCAAGGTTCATAATTAAATAATTTAGATATATATAAAAATTATGTCAATTAGACATTTAAACATAGAAAACTCTACATATTTAATTCAGACCAAAACAATTAGACATATAAATATTATCGTTCTTGACAAGAATCCTGATAATAATAAACCCTATATAATAAACAAAAATACAATTTACAGACCTACGATAACCAAACTCAGCTTTTTTTTAAATCTTAAAACAATCTATTATAAATAAGAAATATGCACGCTCTTTAAAATTTTTCTTTTAATTGTATAAATATCTAACCGCATATTAACCTTAAAATTTATTATAAATTTTAACAAATCTATATATCACAAACTAGAATACAAATAAAGCTTTCATACTCTAAAAATTATTAAATAAAGATTTCAACTCTAAAAAGTATCTTAAACAAGATATTAAATATCATGTAAATTTTTATAACCCGATTATTTCATTTTAATAAAAAATCTAAATTTATATATCAACATATACGCATTCGTTTCAATATATTAAAATTTTATAAATATTAACTAATTACAATACATCTTTATTACTTACAATACTTACAACCTAAATTTAGAAAATTTTATTAAAAGTCGAATAACAATCAAACAAAACAATTATACAATATCTCCAAAAACAAAAACTTATAAATCTACATAATAATCGTATGCTCTTTCTAACGAAATAAAAAGAATTATAAAATCTATACTGCAATAAAAACTCAAATCTAAATAAACCTAAATTTAAAACATACAAACCATATCTACAAAATCACTCAAATTACTTTTTTTCTTTAAAAAAAAATTTATCTTTATTAAAACAAAAATGTCCAACCATGAAATAAACTATTTTCCACTTTTTACCTCTCTTACAAAAAACTTCGTATAACCAAAAAAACCATGTAGATACCCAAGCAAACATGCTTTTCGAACCCTACACTCGACGAAATGAAATAAACCAGAACCTGTCCAATATACCAACCCCTAATAATACAGAATCAAACTTAGCATCTCCAAATAATTACAACCCTTTTACTCCTCAAACAGCTCTTATACGTCTCTTAAATGATTTTTAATCAAAAATACTACATGACTATCCTAATATCCCTTGTATCTATTGCTCAATGCTCATAATGAACTTCTCAGTGAAGTGAATATCTTATAACAATGCTGAACAATACACCTTATCTATCGCCTTTTCTAATATTCTCTTGCGTATCTGTCAAAACAACAGAAATATCACACAAGTAGCCGTTTGCAATAGATGCAAAAACAAAAAATACGTCATTATCCTCTAATCTTAACAGAAATTTCTTTTAAAATCGAACACGTTCCAATGTTTCATAGAAGATACCTCTCCTTTGTATATCTGAACTGCTTATTAGAGCAAGCTGCTAGCTCTAACCACTACACTAACTATCATCATCTAGAAGAAGCAATAAATATAACACATAATTATCGCACTTTAGAAATTTACTCTGGAACCACTAGAGCTTATCTAAATATACATAAACCTCCAAATTGGTTTTATGACATCTTAATTCCTGCCTCAGATTGGCTCAAGCAACATAACGACCTTATTAAAAACTATACTTCAAACATTAATATTACTCGTCTATTTCCCGAAACCTCAGTACCTGTTTCACTATCTCTAGCTAGACAATCAATTAATACTCACAAATCATTTTTCAACCTATATTGTAGCCCACTTCCTAATGAAATTCTGCGTTCCCTGACTTGGTCATCCCTAATGACCCATTCCTATGAGAAATTCACGACGAAGACTCTAATTACGATCATTTAATAGCTGGTTCAATAAATATTACCAATCTTTCAATCTTATTTAGTAATCCGGATTTGAAAGCATTAATATTTCCCGATTTATTTTCTAATGGTAAAGATCATTATGAAAATATAAAACAACTCTTAAACTTCTACCTATCGATAGAAAGTTATAGAAAATATATAAAATTGAGAATGCTGTGCCCTGATCCTAGATTCTGCTTATATTGGTACTGGCCTCATTGGTCGTACCTAAATCTTGAAAAAAAATGAAACTTTCAGAACCAACACCGTATACTATCAACTCGTAACGTCAATAGAGAATATCACTCTACAAGAGCAGATTTAATTAGTAAAAGTTCATATAACGATAAAAATATTCTAAATAAATCAAAAACAACTATACTTCCTTCAAGCTTTAGAACTGTCTCCCCCTTTTTCAAAAAAAAACAACTCCAAGTCAACACAATGATATCTGCCTATGGTCTACTACAAATATTCTATATGATGACCATGGCTGAAGACAAATGGCCGCAACTAAAAAAAATCTTAGAATCAACAGACAATAATGATACATTACCAACCAATCGCCCATTACATATCTATATGTTTTATCGCAACTACTTAAATAATATCCGTAATAAATTATAGAAAAATTCAAATTTAATCCAATGGGGCAAATGGGAACATTATTTTAAATACGACAAATTTCAAAATAGAGGGACCATATACACACACGGCTTCGCCTATACCGAAAAAAAAATTCCTAAATTAATTCATCTTAACTTAATTCGTACAGATCTACCAAACCCCCAAACAGAACCAGAATTGTATCACCTAGTTATAACATTCCAAATATACCACTGCGACCATAAATGTAGAAGCCAAAACCATAATAACGAACAATATTCTAAAAGTTTTCTCCAACTTCTTTCTCAAATAATATACTGTTCACCTAATACTTTATGTTACATATACCGTCAAACAAAAGAAAAAGACCATATGGTCATCCTATATCATTCTGAAACTCTATTAATATAGAGAAAACATATAAACTTTCAATACATCACAACTACCGAATTTGCCAAATATATAACAAAATATGTAACAAAACCTGAACTCTTTGATATTAACGAAAGTAACGATTATAGACGACACATTATAGCTGGCGATTAGAAGCAATAGAATTAATAGTACTTCTACTACAACACTCGCTAACAAGATATTCAGTTTCTGTATATTATCTACCTTCTACACTTTCTGAATTAAGACTAAGATTTGTTAAACCTATCTACCTACTAAATACAAGAGATGATAATGACGAGGATAATTCTGATAACAACAATCCTCCTTATTGGAACGATGCAATTGATAAATATTTTGATCACCCTAACCATGAAACTTTTACCTCTATAACTTACTCTGACTATTTTAAAAACTATGTTATAGGCTCCAAACAACCCGGCCAATGATCGTGATCTTTTCATACTTGTGATCGCAAAAACTGAATAATTATTCAACACAAATCACCCATTCTCCTAAGATTCACAGTATATAAAGTTCAAGATAAAGAACCTTTTTTCTTTCAACATCTTCTGATGAAAATCTCTGCAAGAACTGAACAAGAATTATTAGGTGGATATCTCACATATAGAGACCATTTTCAATCTATATTTCCCATGAGATACCAACAAGCAATTAATTCTCTACGTAGAAGTCACTTAGAAGAAACAAATAATTTATCAAATGCTTACGAATCAATTCTAAAATCTCTTTTAACCAAATTCAAAAACCAAGAACTATCTAATTTAATATTTACCCAATTTCTCGCTTTAGAAAAACATCTACCTCATATAAACTCTCAATCGTCATTAACACTAAATACTAACCAATACAGCATCTACAATACATTATGCAATGTTTGGAAAAAATCTAGCAACGGAAAATACTCATATTTCTTCTTAACAGAGCTAGCTGGAACTGACAAATCATTCATGATAAACCAGATAATTTCCTACTTGCAATCCAAAAATAAAAGATTTT